TGGTGTCAAGGGAATACAGCTTGAGCCTAATCATTTAAAAGACACCACCATAATTACTTACAAAGATATCCCAACAGGAGGGGCAAATGCTGGAGCTCTTTCACCGTTTGGCTCCGAGCCCTTATTTGCTGAAGATCTCTCCCGTTGTGCTGGTGACAGAATTGCATTTGTGGTGACCACTTCAAGTTTCCTTCTGCTAAGATTGATTTTTATGCAATGTTAATTTCTCATACACTAATAAACCATTGAAATTTTGAACTTTTTTCCTTATGTTGTTGAAACACCATAGGTTGCTGACAGTCAGAGGTCTGCAGATGTGGCTGCAAGAACGGCCCTCATTGAATACGACACTACAAATGTAGATTCGCCCATTTTAACTGTTGAGGAAGCTGTTGAGAAATCTAGTTTTATCCAAGTCCCTCTATCTGTTCAGCCTGCACAGATTGGCGATTTCTCAAAAGGAATGGCTGAAGCTGATAAAAAAATTCTCTCTGCTGAGGTACTTTTGTTTTCTCTACTGTTCATATTTGTTTTTTGTAGCTCAGATTCTCCAAAATATTGCCGTACCCATAGTGGATCCTCCAAAATGCACTATTGGAGGATTCGGCACACACGTGGTAGCATTTTTGAAGAGACTGAGAGCATAGCATTGTTTCAATGGTTTCCTAAATTTGATTCCTGGATGGTGATGTATGCTAAAGGTTCAAACATATTACTTATCGTTTCTTATAATAATCATTTTCCAGTTAAGATTGGGTTCCGAGTACCATTTTTATATGGAGACACAGACTGCCCTCGCAATTCCAGATGAAGACAACTGCATGGTTGTTTATACTTCAAGCCAGTGCCCTGAGAATTCACAGAGTATGATTGCCAGTTGTCTTGGTGTTCCTGCACACAACATCCGCGTAATTACAAGAAGGCTTGGAGGTGCCTTTGGGGGCAAGTTTATCAAAGCAATGCCTGTGAGTATACGAAAAAGAAATAGTAATAATAACAATTCTCTGACACTCATATTAAAGTTTATGAATAATTTTAGGTTTCCACGGCCTGTGCACTAGCAGCATACAAGTTAAGAAGACCTGTCAGGATATATGTCAACCGGAACACTGACATGATAATGACAGGAGGACGACACCCGATGAAAGTAACATACAGTGTAGGATTCAAGTCGAGCGGAAAGATCACAGCATTACATCTTGATATATTGATAAATGCTGGGATCACAGTTGATATGAGCCCCATCATACCATCATATCTGATAAATGCACTAAAAAAATATAATTGGGGTGCCTTATCTTTTGATATACAAGTGTGCAAGACAAATCTCACCAGCAAAACGATCATGCGGGGCCCTGGGGAGGTGCAAGGATCTTATATCGCCGAAGCTATAATAGAGCATGTCGCATGTTTACTGTCGATTGAGGTGGACTCAGTCAGAAAGGAGAATGTTCATACATTTGAAAGCCTTAACTTATTCTATGGTAACGTTGTAGCAAAAGGAGAATATACATTGCCTAGTATCCTGGATAAGTTGGCAGTGTCGTCGAGCTTTTTCCAACGAAGCAAGATGATAAAACAGTTCAACCAGAAAAACACATGGAAGAAAAGGGGTATTTCTCGAGTGCCAGCTGTGTACCTTGCTACGCAACGACCGACGCCAGGAAAAGTCAGTATTCTGCAAGATGGATCAATTGTTGTGGAGGTTGGAGGGGTTGAAGTTGGCCAAGGGCTATGGACAAAGGTTAGACAGATGACTGCCTATGCTCTCGGTTCAATCGAAAGTAGCTGGGCCGAAGACCTTGTGGAGAAAGTACGAGTCATACAAGCAGACACCTTAAGTGTAGTGCAAGGTGGGCCAACGAATGGAAGCACTACATCGGAATCAAGCTGTGCAGCTGTTAAACTTTGCTGTACTATCTTGGTTGAAAGACTGACCCCTCTGAAGAAACAGTTGCAGGAAAAAAATGGTTCTGTTGATTGGCCAACGCTGATTCGCCAGGTTTGTTTTCAACATTTCAACACTGCAAGACACACTTCTCACAATCAGTACTTTCAGTTTTCTGGATTGGTTTTTGAAATCACTGTGAACTTGTATTCTTAAGATGTTCTCGTTGCAAGAGACGCCTTATCATCAATGATTACCTTGTTCTTATAAACATTTCGCCATATCCAAACAGAACTCGTGATGCCAAAGATGCTAAATTTGAATTAGTCAGAAGATAAAATACTCTGAAGTCCTATTTGAAATCATTTTTCTTCTTTTGCAGGCACAAACACAATCAATAAACTTAGCAGCAAATTCTTATTATGTGCCAGAATTCTTGAGGTATTTGACCTTTGGCGCTGCTGTCAGTGAGGTAAACTTGTTACTCCTGTCAGTTTTTCTTGTTCCCTGCCTCAGTCTGCTACTTTAAAGCAGATTCCCCTTTCAATACGTAGAGAAGATCACCAAATTTTGCTGAATTTATTCCAAGAGCTTAGTTTGAATCAGTATATCGGAATATCAATACTGATTGGAATATCAGTAGAGATCCGATCAAGCTCTCTTATTGAGAATGCTCATATATTATGCCTTGAAGAGGACTCGAACCTCCACCCTCTTAAGCATGAGATTTTGAGTCTTGTGTGTATCATTTCACCACCAAGATATCTTGAAAGTGAATCGTATGCAATGACTATCAATTTTCAATATATATGAGTACACAACACTTGGTAGGGAACTCCGGTTGTGGACCATTTTGCAGCCAATATATCTTCATATGGATAACTGTTAAAGAATGACAAAAAGTCCCATATCGGTGATTAATGAGATGGGTGGACTCCTTATAAGGCTTGAGCAATCCTCCTCCCTTTGAGCTAGCTTTTGGGGTGTGAGTTAGGCCTAAGACCTAATTTAACAATAACTAACAATAGAACTCTTTTTGCAGGTGGAGATAGATGTTCTGACTGGAGAGACTACCATTTTGCAGTCGGATATTATTTACGACTGCGGACAGAGCTTGAATCCAGCGGTTGATTTGGGACAGGTTCTTTCCTTCATCATAATTTTGTAACTAGAATTTGCTTAATACGATTAAGAGATGCATCATGCACTCGAACCGTTATTCAAACTTCAGAACTATCGGATTCTTGATCACAAGATTATGCATAATTGTGGTGATTGTAATTCTTTTCCTTGCTACAGATTGAAGGTTCTTTTGTACAAGGAATCGGATTTTTCATGAACGAAGAATATCTTACAAATGAAGATGGGTTAATGGTCTCAAATAGCACTTGGACATACAGCATCCCAACTATTGACACCATACCCCAGAATTTCAATGTTCATCTCGTAAACAGTGGACATCACGAACAACGTGTTCTTTCGTCCAAAAGTATAACTCTTTTCTTCATTTCCTTTAGCTTTACCATGTGTCATATGAGTTCTCCATGTTCTTGAGTTCACAAGAACGCAATAACTTCTGTCCAGACTTTGTATGGATATATTGAAAAATCCACTAAATATCTATAAATACTTGTTAGTGAACTATGTTATTATTGTATACTAACTTGAGCTCAATGCAGGAACGTATAAACTTCAAATTCTGAATCTTCAGTTTATACAAACCGTTGAATCTTATTATAATCACTTTTTTGCAGCATCTGGTGAACCACTGCTGTTTCTGGCAGCTTCGGTCCATTGTGCAACAAGAGCAGCCATTAGAGCAGCACGTGAACAGCTCAAACGTTGGGACAAGCTCGACGAGTCTGTTTCAGAGTTTTATCTAGATGTCCCTGCAATATTACCAGTTGTGAAGACACAGTGTGGCCTGGATTATGCAGAGAAGTTCTTAGAAACTTTGCTGGCTCGGCCACCAACGTGTTTCAAATGATACTAAACTATGTTGCTCGGACTCTCCAGAATGTTGTCGTACATGTGTTGATTCCTCTAAAAATACACATTACTTTTTGAGAATCTGACATGCACCCGGAAGCATTTTCGAAGAGTCGTGATCATGTCTACTACATCTTTAATATTCACCAAATTTCAAGTACATGACTAAAGAGCTATATATGGTCTTAGTCATATAATAAGGTGATTTATTTCTTCTAAAATAATGATATATGATCATTGTAAACATTTCATAACATTTGTGTTGCTATAATAATAAATGATCATTTTATTTTCTGACTTTTTTCTAAACTTTGATCGATGCTTTTTTGTTGCCTATAAATTGAAAAAGAATTAAAAAAATCAATTAATCGTCTTAACAATGGAAACACGGTTCGCACATTGATAAAAGTTGTGTTGTTTGGATACTTCAGAAAATATTAGTGCATGTCGGATCCAACGTGAATGGACAATATTTTTGAAGGATTCAAGTGATAATATTACTAGTTTAACCACGATGTAACCACGTGTATCTTGAGTTATGTCATATATATTTTTTTAAAATAGAATTCATATTAATAAAACAAAAATTCGAGTAAACAATTACGCTTATATGAAGAATAAATTACTAGTACATATACCTGTCTTTGTCTTTGAAACAAACACTTAGAATACACATTATACTAGAAAAAAACTTTGATGTCCATTTAAATATATAGGAGCTTCATGAGAATTTTCATAAATGAAATTTGCAAAAATTTGCTAATGGAAAATTAATAATAGCAAATCGAATTAAATGAAATACACCCACATTTGTTGTTCCAACAAAAACTTGAACACTGAATGAAAAACAAGATAATAAAAACGTTATCGCTCAAAATAAATTTTCTAATTATTTTAAATTAGTCAGACCTCAAGATATAAGACTCCGAATAAAAAACCAACAAAAGAAGTATTAATCTAGTTTATAATAATAGGGATATATAGCATCATAATCATATGTCTACTAGTACATCTTTAATACTCACGAAATTTAAGAGTAATACTTGTATAGGTCAAGTACATGACTAAAGAACTATATTATATAACTTATCTTATAATAAGATGATTTATTTCTTCTATAATATTAAACTTTGTTAGAAATTTTCTCAACAAGACTCTGAAGTATATCCTTTGTTAATGGCTTCTCATAGCATTCATCAAGCCCAACTTCCATAATTTTTTTGCGATATTCTTCATTATCATCTGGAGTTGTTATTCCCACAATCATCGTAGTAATCCCCATCGATCGAAGCTTTTTCGTTGCCTAGTAATCGAGAAAAAACATTCAATAAAATAAAAAACACATTTCACACATAAATAAACGTTATATTGTTTAGATTTTTCAGAAAATATGCACGTGTGTTACACGTGTATATCAAGTCATGTCATATCATTAAAAAAATATTCGAGTAAACAATTAGACATAAAATTAAGATTAAATTGTAATTAGTTAGGAATTAATTACCTCGATACCATCCATAATAGGCATAGTTGAGCCCATCAGGATTAAATCAAAACGCATTTGTGTTTTATCATGAATATTGAATGCCATAAATCCATTTTTTACTCCTAATGTCTCCACTCCAAACTTTTGAAGACATAATATATATGAATTTTGAGATATATCATCATTTGCCACAATAAGTACACTTAGTTTTTTCACCGCATTCAATTTTCTCTTACCCTTTGAAGATGAAGCACTTGAAGACATTTTCCTGAAAGAAAAAAAATAAATTAATTTAATTGTACTTATTTGCAATAAAAAAACAGAATTATTGAGCATAGTTCTAATCATACCTTTCTTTGTCTTTTGAGAGAGAGAAAAAGTATTTGAAAGCACCTTATACTCGAAAAATGTTTTGATGCTCATTTAAATAGGAGTCTCATGGTAAGTATTCATGAATGAAACTTGCAAAAATTTGCTATTGAAAGATTAATAATAGCAAAGTGAATTAAATGAAGTAATGCTCAAATTTGTTGTGGAAAGTTGGAAAGAGCAATTAAATAAGAGTTCTTTTTCCTCTTTCTAAAGAGGTATATTCTTGAAGGAAAATATAAAAATTTCTTGAATATATTGACTTTTGAAATTTTTTATTTGTAGTAGACCTTATTTTATTGTAAATTAATTTTTTGACACGTGCGTTGTACGTGTAAATCAAATCATGTTGAAAATTTTCAAGATTTTTAAGTAAAAATTCCATATTAAAACTACAATCAATCAGTTAAAATTTAGTATAAATCTAGTACTGAAATCTCAAATCGAAGCTCGTAAAATGGAACCGATTTTAGTAAAGAACATTTTAGTTCTCCAGGTTAGTCGGATCTCAAAACTGAGACTAAGCACCGATTAAGAATAAAAAAAAGTTTAATCCTTCAAAATGAACTTTCTGATGTGAAATCAAGTTAGTCAAACCTCAAGAGAAATATGAGCCTCATGAAAAGTTTCCATTAATAAAATTTCCCACAATTTGCTATTGGAAAATTAATAATAGCAAATCGAATCAAATGAAATATGCTCAAATTTGTTGTTGGAAAGTTGAAAAAGATAAACTAGATAAATTTGATGTTATTGTATTTAAGAGTTGATCTTTTTCTTCTTTCTAAGGAAGCATTGTTGAAGCAAAATATTTAAATTTCTTGAATATATTAAATTTTGACATTTTTAATAATTGTAAGACCTTATTTTACGATTAATAATTTTTTGACACGTGTGTTGTATGTGCATATCAAGTCAAGTTTGAAATATTTTCAAGCCTTTTAAAATTTTGATTTTAGACCCCCCTCCCCATGGACATAGTCTGTCACGCCCCGAGCCTACACCCTGGGCGGGACCGGCACCCGGAGACCATTTCTGGCCCCAAGCGAACCCTTGGCCTGGCTTTCTTAACTCAGCGGAAACCTCAACAGAATAACTCAATGCAATGCAATATTACAAAACAACTTAACTTATAAAATATGGCCATAAAGGCAACTCGAATCTCAAAATAGAATATTTACATATATATATATATGTATAGATGAGAGACTCAAAACTAACTGACTGACTGTATGTCTATGAAGCCTCTAAAATACTG